GATGGATGGATGGATGGATGGATGGAGGGAGGGAGGGAGGGAGGAGAAAGTGAGGATGGATAGGGGTGGGGGGTGGGGGGAGTGAAGGGGGAAGGCAGCTGGAGGGAGGGAGGGAGCGGGAACTGCCACTGCAGGAGGTCGAATAACAAGCGCCTCTGCCATCACAAGCCTCCGCTGCCATCTTCAGCATCAACTCTGAACTTTGCCTCAGGAATTTCAATAGAAAAAGATAGATTCAAGTGGATAATCGAAATTTTTCTTGTGCTGTATGAGTCGTTCGACCTGGGGGAGATATTGAAATTTAAGATTTAATTTTCAAATTTAACAAAAGATTTTCAAAAAAGAAACGAAATTTTCCAGTACTTGTTGCGGGATTCAGTAGCAGAAGGTTTCAATTTAAGTTTCATCTCATGGTTTCAACATTAGATGCAAATTTTCAGTCTAGATCCTCAAAGAGCTTCGTATTGGTTCACATTTGAGTGAAATACAGCAGAGGCAGAAGAGCAACAATTTCTCAAGGGTCATGTTTGACCACGCTCATCTAAAAATATTCAAAATATATTATCCCATACTTGAAACTCAAAGATGTAGTTTCAAAATAATTTTACAAAATTGCGTTGTATCGGGAAGAACCCTCCATGTTCCAGAGGCTTCTGCATGGGGTGGGTGGTATTCACTTAACTAAGAAAATAGTACTACAAGATATAGATAAGATTCCAGCAGTAGTATTAGAATACGATAAAGTTTACTCATTATTTATTTCGAAGCATTTCATGGGGTGTTGTCTGCCGCCCCTTCCCCTTCCCGCCAGCACGCGCCCATGGTGGCAGAGGAGAGGAGAGTGGAGGACAGAAGCGAATGAGCAGGGGAGAAATGAAGAAGCAGAGGCGAAATAAATGGGGCAAGCGCATGGCAGGAGGGAAAGAGTGAAGTCAGCAAAGATCACATGGCTCCAGTGCAGGATAGGTGGAACAAAGGGACCGAAGCATGAATTCAGAAACCTGTGGAATATGGATATTGAGAATCCTCAAATGTGGTGAAGAACAGGAAAAGGAAAACTTATCGACACCCATGATAAAATTAGTATCAGCGAACGCAAGCACGCTTGAGAGATGATGGTTGGAAGCAGTTTGCTGCAGAAAGCACAAAGTAGAGGGATGAAAATGTTCTCTACTAAAACATGTTGAACGAGGCATGGAAGCCGCGTGGAATGGACTTTGTCTTGAAAGTGTTGATAAACTTTGAACTCGCGCATTTTTTGTAACCGTTGACAAGGTATAGGCAGTGTTAGGCTGTAGGAAGGACAGTCACTGAAGACGGACATGAAAATAGGGTATCGAGTGAGCTGAGTTAGTTGTTGCAGCAATGAAGGAGACGGATTGAGATCCTTGAAAACGTTGAGGGCAATAAATTCCGACGTAGACTACAATAGATGAGACTGAGTGAGCACGGCCTTGAACTCGGAGAACGGAATCTGAGGTGAAGAAGCCTTGTTCAGAGAGAGAAGGAGAGTGAGCGAGCGAGAGAGTAGCATTGTTGTGAGCTTTCACATTATAGAGGCAGATACATGCCTTCTCTGAGTTGACATAATCCTTGTTTGACATGATGTTCTCCGGTTTCAATGGTACTGACAGCTTCATAGATGGCACAACCGTACATAGGTTCGCGCATCAGCTTGATTTCCAAGTCAGAGATCCGCTATGAAGGAACTCTGTATACAATCAACCCGACCGAAGCTACCGTAGCCTTGCAGCACGGTATGTCCTTCTTTAAATTGCCTGATGAATGCGCGGCGATCGGCTGGGCCTCTTCACAATATGCTTGTCCCTGATTTTCCTCCCCAGTTCGCTCGTTCGGAACTGAAGGCCGCCGAAAGGACGGCCCCCAGATCCAGCCATCGGCTGAGGTGTATGAATACATCATCTTCAGGTGTGTGGCTAAGGATCTTGTGATCTCGATGAGGTTGGCTGATGTGTCTTCTACAGAGGCTCGGATATCAAGGACCTGCATGTTCTCGATCAAAATGCTCCCCAAGCAATGCCTCCTGCGGAGCCCATGCGCCCGCCAGAGCCGGCACAGTACAACCCGTATGCCCCGCAGCAGTTCTCTCAGCCGATGCAACCCATGTACAATCAAGGAATGCCCAAGCCGAATGCTCCTGCACCAGGGATGCCTGCTGCTGGTATATCCCTCCATCTGTCTGTTTGTCCTGACTCTCCATGTTTCAGTTGCTCCCATGCAGTTCCAGCAGAGGCCTAACGATGGCAATGTGCCTAGGCCGAACCAGACGATGCCTTCCGCACCTCAGGCTGCTCCTCAACCAGCCCAGCCCCAGGCTCAAGCTCAGGCCCAAGCACCAGCTCAGATTTCTCAGCCTCAGGCCCAGCCGAAGCCAGGAGTTCCGGGTGAACAAGGGCAAGGGCAGAAGGCACCTCAACCGCGACCCAACGCCTGGGCGCAGCCTCCGTCCATTGCAAGCCAATCCCAGGGCAACCAAGGGGGACCGAAGAACATCAACACGGGGCGTGCCCCACCTCCCCAGGCCCACGCCCATGCTCCCGCACGCGGCGGCGCACTGAGGGGGGGAAGAGGAGGAAGAGGCAGGGGCATGATTGCTTCGGGTCAATTCACGGTTGGCGAGATAAAGAAGGTGTGCGATCACGTGGGTTGCGGTGGCATGCTCATATGTGCCTGCAGATGGAGGATGACTTCGACTTTGTCTCAACAACTGCTGCCTTTGATAAGCTTGCAGTGAAGGCGAGTGATGTAGTGTTGAGGCAGCTGGTTGTGACGACCTGAGCAGGAAGAGGTGCACGATCAGGAGCAATCTATTGTTAAGGGTTACGACAAGGCCAAGAGTTTCTTTGACTCCATATCTTGTGAGGTGAGCTGACCTGTGCCGATGCGGAAGAGGGCCTGAGGCGGGCTGCAGGGCTCGACGAAGGAGTCGCCATACAACAGAGCTGAGTCCAACCGACTCGACATGGAGACTTTCGGTGCCACAAGTGCGGGAATTCGCAGATGGACTGGGCCCCGAGGACGCGGAGGAGGACGCGGAGGAGGGATGGGGCGAGGAGGGGGGATCAGGCGAGGAAGGGGCGGTGGACAATAAGTACATTCGTGGGATAGCACAAGGTAGAACAGCCCTGCAACATTTACCCTATCTATCGTTAAAGTCTGAATGCTCACGTTCTCGTCCTCCTTCACGGGGGCATCAAAGTGAAGGGACCCCAATAGAGATGTCAGGACCGAGTACGGAAACTATCGATGTTCTCTCGACGGAACAAATGTTCCCTCGATGGTACGCCCCAGCTGGCCTGCATCATCTGCTGAAGGTGTGGAGCAAGCAATCTCGACCAGCCAAATCCGACAGATACATCTCCAGCTGCTGCTCTGACGGCAGCGGATTCTCGTAGAACCTCTCCGGCGCCTCTCGGACTTCGTGCTTGAACCCCAGAGTCTGTCAAACAGCCTCAGCAGCGGGCCAGCTGGCAGGCAGCAGGTACCTCCATAGATGAGATGAGGAGCGTTGAGCCGTCTCGATGTGGAGGGGCTGCGTAGAGGAACTTGCCTCCGGCCCTCCGGAGGAGATGGTTCGCAACCCGACATATGGAGTCAACCTGACAAGTACGGTCAGCTGGAGTGAGGAGTTTGCGGCTCAGCGGACCTGCTCGTGGTCGTAGAGGATGTCAGACCCCACGAGGATGTCGAAACTCTCGGCTGACGGCCAGCTGGACTCATCCGTCCAGTCCAGCTTCTCGATCTGCATCCTGCCAGACGTCGCCGGACCCTCGTTGAGCTGCATGTTGATCCTCAGGTTCTCGAGCGAGTGCTTGAAGGAGTCGGTCGCCAGCACGACCTGGGCGTCTGTGAAAGCCATGGCAGCAAGGGACGGAAGGCCGCATCCCGCTCCGATCTCACAGAAACTCTTTCCCCTGAGCTCCTCCTTCATCTCACAGATCCACCTCGCAGTGATCACCGAGGCTGCCCACAGGTACACCCCCGTGCTATCCCGCGCTGCATCCGTCCCTGAAAATGCTTCTCCCCTCCAGGAGAGCCCCAGCAGCCTACACTTGAGGGAGGAGGCGGACGGGTCGCTGAGCCTCAGCTCCAGAGTCGTCTCCTCCACGATCGCCGCGTCCTCGGGCGACAAGAGATCCTCAGAGACGGACTCGCAGACCTCCATCTGCGCTCCTTCCTCCAGCGGGCCAGCGCTCTGGTGCGAGAGGAGCAGTGCTGTGATGTTCTCGTCGTTTGCCTCGCATGCGTAAGTCAGCGCGCTGATGTTGCAGTCGTTCCTGTCCAGCACGTCCGACTGCTCATGAGCGAGCAGGAGCTCTACCACCTTCTCCTGCGAGTTCTGCACGGCCCAATGCAGGGGGGTGTTACCTCGATTGTTCTTCTTGAGCTCCGCGCGCCGGCCGAGCAGGTACCGCACCACATGCTCGTGTCCGTTGGCTGCAGCGAAGTGGAGGGCAGTGCAGCCAGCCATGTCGGCCTCGTTCACATCGACATGATCTCGTTCTATCAGCATCTGAACCCTCTCGAGCTCCCCCGCTCTCGCTGCGTCGCCAAGCTGTTCCTCTTTTGTTGCCTCCCCGCCTCCCCCTCCTCCCCCTCTGACACCTGTGGGTCTGTACTGAACTCAAACCTCTCCATCTCTCCTTCAGGCTGGTACTCCTCGCTCTCCTCGCTCATCTCCATCGTTCCTCCTCGTAGCCTCAAACTTCCCTCTCTCCCTCCGATGCAGCCTGACACACCGATTCTTCCTCCCTCCGAGCTCAACACTGCTGCTGCGACTGTCTTCGCTACCTTCGATGGCATCATCGTCAAGCTTAACATCTCTCCTCCCCCTGCTCCCCCTGCTCCCCCCCCTCCTATCGTGACCGGACTCGTCGCCGCTAGGAGCAGCAGAACCAAAGGCACCATTGCGACCCAAGTAGACATATCCGTTACCATTCCGTTACGATTCACACTCACCAGGCTAGTTTGGTAGCTCCTGCTCCTCCTCCTCTAGTAACTCCGAGGCTCCTCCGAGCATCTAGTAGCTCGTGCTGCTCCTCTACTACTACTACTACTACTACTGCGGCTCCTGCTCCTCCTCTAGCCGCCTAGTAGCAGTAGCTCCTGCTCCTCCCCTCTAGTAACTCCGAGACTCCTCCTCTAGTAGCTCCGAAGCTCCTCATCTAGTAGCTCCAAGGCTCCTCCTCCAGTAGCCTCCGAGGCTCCTCCTGTCTCCTCCAGGCTCCAGTGCTCCGGGAGTCCTGCTCTACTAGGCTAGGCTAGAGTCGTCAGCTCCAGCTCCTCCTCTAGTAGCTCCTGCTCCTAGCTCCCGAGTCCAGCTCCTCCTCTACTAGGCTAGAGTCGCCAGCTCCTGCTCCTCCTCTGGAGTCGCTCTAGGCAGCAAGGTTAGTGCATTCTATTTACTGTGGGTTATTCAATCTTTCAAACTTTCTTGCTTAAAGTTCTGAACTTGCTGATCTGGACATGGGGACTCAAGTGAGTCTCAAGTTTCTAGTCGTTCTGGGACAAGGAGGACGGAGGGTCCATAGGAGGGCCCTCCTTGATCTGCAGGTACCGCAGCACAGCCTTCATGTCCGCCTTCAGACTCTTCACCTCGTCCTTGGTGTCCTGCAGCTGCTGTTTGATCTCCCCAAGAGTCACAAGGAGCATGTCCTTGGTGTGTCCGTCCACAGCCTTGCTGCTCAACGTCACATTCCTGCCACCTGAAGTTCGTCCTCCTTCCCCCTCATGGTAATCTCTGTGCGATCTGCTCGAGGGCACAGCCCCGGCTCCTTCGGCCCTAGCGCTTGCATGCACCATGTTCCCCGACCCTGATGGGGCAGCCTCTCCCTCCGCTGCTGGCACATCGTTGGGCGGAGCAGGAGGAATCGCAACTTCCGCGTCAGCGCTCGCGCTCGCATCCGTATCCATGTCGGTCTCGTTCTCCTCTCCCGTGGGGTTCCCAGACTTTCTCTCCTTCCCTCCGGCCTTGTCAGCGTTGGCCACCTTAAACGCCTTGATCTCTCTGCACGTTCGCTTCACCATGTCGACGTAGGACGGCGCGTCCTCATGCTCGTCCGCGTACCTCCTCGAGGCGATCTGCCGGATCTTGGACCGGATGGAGCCCAGAGGCCGAGGAGTGACGCTATGCTCCGTGCACCATCTCGTGTGGACCTCTAGCAGTCGCTCCCACTGGATGCGCCCTGACGGCTTCACCTGCGCGAACAGCTCTGCGAGGTAGTACAGCTCCTCCTTGGAGTAGTTGCAGGAGCCGGCGATCCGACCGCCGAAGCCCGGCTTCATGCTGTTCAGGGAGGGTTGAAGCTTCTTCGAGGCTGAGCTCGGCTGAGATCCTTTTCTCCCTACTCCCACCGGGCTCGCCATCGCAAAAGATGCCTCGGCTTCTGCTGGCTGGGCCTCGGAGCAGCCGCAGGTCAAGGGGTCGCGCCTGTTGCTGGGCGCGCAGTCCTTGTGAAAGGATTGGCCGCAGGTCTTGCACTGCAGGCCCCTGTTGGCCTCGGGATCGCAGGATTCACCTGGAAGCTTGCAATGCTCCTTGAAGAGACAGGTCGCCTCCGACGCCATGTGTCCCTTCAACGAACCGACGGCAGGAGAAGCTCTTGGGTAGAGACAAGGGAAGGTGAAGCAAGTTCCTGCGGAAGGAAACACTCAGTGAAATAGCAAGACAGGGGAGACGATGCGAAAGATTTTGGAGCGCTCTACTAAGCATGTCAAAGTATCATGGATGCTAAGCCTGAGAGAAGGAAATTCAGGATGAGAAGGACGAAAATGCAATTGAACGCATATTGAGGTTCAGAATGGAAACTCGTAAGCGAAGAGGCTGAGAGGGGAACATGCCTGGACAAAACTGAAGAGAGCATGTTGACATATGAGAGGGAGTTTGTCAGAGAGCTCTTGAGACTGCAGGCAGGCAGGCAAGCAGGACTGCGTAGGAGCAAGGGCGATCGATCAAACCAGGAAAGGAGGAGAGGAGAGAACAAGGGGAACAGGTTAGGAGAGGAGGATGGTAGCAGAGAGAGAGTCTATCGTGAGAGGAGGAAAGGAGGGGAGGAAAGGAGGGGAGGAAAGAAGATGAGGAGATGAGGAGAGGATGAGAGGAGTCAGTGAGGGGGTGGAAGAGAGGAGGGGGAGGGGGGAGCAGGAGCAGGAGCAGGAGCAGGAGCAGGAGCAGGAGAGGAAAGCAGGAGCAGGAGCAGGAGAAGGAGAAGGAGAAGGAGCAGGAGCAGGAGCAGGAGCAGGAGGGACTAGTCTAGATAGGAACAGAGCGGGGAGAGGAGCAGGAGCGGGAAAGCAACGGAGCCACATCCCACTCTGACCACGTCTAGATCTAAACCCTCATAACTAAACCTGCCAAACTAAACCTGCAAAACTAAACCCCTCATCCCAATGCTTCTGCTCCTGCTCCTGCTCCTGCTCTTCTCCTGCTCCTGCTGCTCCTGCTGCTCCTGCTGCTCCTGCTCCTGCTGCTCCTGCTCCTGCTCCTTCCTCAGTCGCTCTTGCTATCTAGCTGGTTATCTGTATTTATTTCTCCTGATCTGCCTAGCACACTTGCATCCCACAGGGCCTGAGTTTGTCTGTTTCTTTACCTGAGTGTCAGACTCTCGTCTCTGTTTGTTTCCCCGCCACTCTCATTCATCTCCTTCATCTCTACACCACAAGTGCTGATACGTTGCTGCCATATCCTTCCTCTTGACTTGAGATTCTCTCTTGTCGTCGTGATTGTGCGACAGCTGATTCCTCTCTTCAGTTTTTTCGTCTGTTCGTCTTCTGAATTTACCGCGTGCTCGACATTTCTTCGCTTCGTCCTCATGCCAGGGCAGAAGGTGACGACTGGGGTCTCCTGACCTTCTTCTCGTCCTTCATCGCATCCTGCATGGGCCCTCCTCGTCACCCTTGCTTCCTGTTTCCCTTGTCTGTCATCTCCCTCGCTCTCGCCATCATCGTTTCCTCCATCTATGCAGCTCTCGCAGCTCTTTATGATCGCAGACTACCTTAACTGTCTTCCTTTTTCGCTTGCGCAAGTGACTCGCTCCCTGGCAGTGCTTCGTTACCGTAGGAACAACGAAATTTGACGAGCTTGTAGAGGCGTTTGACAGCGAGGTTAGGAGAATCTCTCCTCCTCCTCCTCCTCCTCCTCCTCCTCCTCCTCCTCCTCCTCCTCCTCCTCCTCCTGGGAGCTGCTGGCCCTTCCCTCCTCCGTGTCTTCCTCCGTCCTCTCCCCTTCTCCTTGTCTCCTCTCCTCCGTCGTTTCCTTACTCATCAGTCTTGATTGAGTTCTCACCCACCAGGACCTCCAAGAGAAGCTGTTTTCACAGGGGTTCGAAGAGATTGTCATTCAGAAGGGGTTGATGGCAACTGGCAGGATTCTGACGCTCCTGACCATCTCCTGCAGGAAAAGCAGAGCAACGCCCGTGGCGCGAGGAAGGTTGCGAGTCGCAGTGTATGAGGCAAGAGAGGAGGAACACTCTTCCTTACCCTCATCCTTGTTCTGTCTGCAGTACAAGCCGTCGCTGCAGGAGGACATGGCAGCAGCGGACCTTATAGTCTCGCATGCAGGGGCCGGCTCTGTGATGGAGTCCCTACGGATGGTGAGAGTGTGCTGGGAGGGCTTGACAGGAGCTGACGCTGCAACAGGGGAAGAAACTTGTCGTCGTTGCCAATCAGGTCTGACAAGTGCCCTGAGATTCAACGGCTCTGACCGGCGCAGGCGCTCATGGACAACCATCAGATGGAGCTCGCGGACGCCATGGCTGCTCGAGGTATTTCTCTCCTGCTCCTGCTCCTCCTGCCCCCCCCCCCTCCAAACACACACCCTGCACTCTCTCATTCTACGCAGCCCCAACCGCCATCCACCCCTCCACTTATGCCCTCCTTGTCTCCTTATCATCTCCTGTTCTGCTTCTTTTCTTTCCAAGTCTCCGTTGAAGTTGCTACAGGTCTCGTCGACGTAGCGACGCCCGATAACATCGCACAAGTTGAGAGAGGAGGAGACCCTGGAGGGATATGACTGTAGCGCCACAGGTGATGGGAAGTGGCCGATACAAGCAGCTGAAATCTCCTCCTCCTCTTGATCTGGTGTGAGGAGGAAGAGGGGCTGGGGGGAGGGGCGGAAGAAGAGTAAGAGAAGGAGGGGAGAAGAACGAGGGCAAGAAGGAAGAAGGAGGAGGAGAAGGGGGGGGGGAAGGAGGAGGGAAGGTAGATTGGGGGATTCGAGGAGGGATTCTCATGCTTTCTGAGCAGGGGCCCATGAGAGAGATCGTGATGAAGAGCGTCGGGGAGTTGAAGGGCAGCGAGAAGAAGAAGATTTAACTGTAAATGTACAAGAAGATTCAACTATAAATGTACAACATCGGCTGGAGAAAATCCCTGGCATGACGGGCGATGGCTGGTGGAGGGAGAGAAACGCAGATGGGAAGAGGAAGAGGAGGGAGTTGGGGTGGGTTGGGATAGCACGAGAGATAGAGCGAGCGTTGGGGGGAGAGGGAACGAAGGTGGGCGCGCAGCAAGAGGGAGCGAGAAAGGAACCGGAGGAAGAAAGGAAGGAGACGAGTGGAACGGAGAAGGACGAGAGGAAGAAGGGAAGGTGGGGCTGGGAGAGGTGAGAGGGAAATGCTGTGTCTCGGAGCAGGAGGGGAAGAGAAAAGGGAACGACTTGACTGATCGATGACAACACGGCAGTAGTTTGCGCAATCCACATCAGTCACAGTCCAGCTGACCGGCAGCCATTTCCAACATCGCGAGCTGGGAGAAAACGTCAGCTGGACTGGAGAGCAGTGGGGCCCGGACTTTCTCACCTCGACGATATCCCGTATAGGCGTATGACCTCTCCCTGTTCCCACGAAGTTTCCCCGTTCTGAGTTCTCGTTGCTCCTCCTCCTCACCCTCCCCTCCGCCTCGTTCACTCCAAACTTCCAGCCGTCCTGCAAGTTCCTCCTCCACACCTATGGCAGAGATCACGAGCGTTTCTACCCTCGCTCCTCCTTCCCCACCTTCCCTCCCCTCTCCTCCGCGAAAAGAGTCAGAAGCGCTCCCAACACCCCGTACTCCTGCTCTCCCCCCCCGACGTATCCCAGCCGCTCCGAGCGGTCCAGGTACGTCTCTATCACCTCCCTCCTCGTCCTCCTCCTCCCCGTCTCTCCGAAAATCATCTCATCTGCCTCCCTCAGCATCCACGGCCGGTTGTACGCTGCTCGCCCGATCATGACCTCAGACACGGCGGGCAGGTCCTCCCATGACTCATCCTCACCGTCTGCCTGCCCATCTCGCCCGTAGGAGGCGGACGAGGGGAAGAGGTGCGAGCAAGCTCCTTGCAAGTCCCTGACACCTCCATTGTACGTGAAGGACAGGTGAGGAAAGTCGCTCTGCAACTGGTGGACCCATCTCGGTCGAAGAGGAGGCACCTTCCTGTTCTCCTCAGGGCTCAGCCCCTCCAGCACACAGTCCCGAGCATGAACGACAAAATGCCTCACACTCCCTTGGCTCACCGTCCTCACGAACGTGCGCAGAGCCTCGTATCCTCCTACTTCGTCTGTCCCCAGCCTGCACTTAACGCTGACCGGCAACCCGTTGGCAGCTCTCGAGATCTCCTCGGAGCTCCTGAGCACCAGCTGAGGGTCGTGCATCATTCGAGCCCCGAAGCCTCCGACGCCCTCGGTGGCCACCTGGACAGCATGAGCTCACAGCTGTCGCAGGGTCGCAAGTCTCACTCTCGGGCTCGGGCACCCGCAGTTCAAGTTGATGGCACAGTAGCCGTCCAGCTCTCCTGCGCTCCTCAACATCCCGACGGCGTCTGCGAAACCTTGCGGGCATGACCCGCCGAGTTGGAGGACGACCGGAGCCTCGTCCAGATGGCATCGAAGCTCCTTGGGACGAGTCTCCTGCCTCAGGAGGTCCTGGATGGAGACCATCTCGGAGTACAGAAGGGTGCGCGATGAGAGGAGGCTGCAGAGACAACAAGTGAGAAGAAAGAGAACAGGAGGAGGGCAGTGGAAGGAGGGACTGCAGGACAAGCCGAAAAGGGTGAGCACATGTTACTTGCCGGCAGAGGAAACGGAAGTGTGTGTCAGTCCAGCCCATCATCGGACCTGAAAGAAACCACAAAAACGCCTCAGTCCTTCTCTGTCCTACCTCAAGCTGCTCTGCGACCCTCGCTCCATCCCCCGCCTCCACTCCCGCCCCTGCCCCTGCCTTCCTCTACCATCACCATCCTCCCCTCCTCCTCTCCTTGTCCTCCTCCTCGCACACTCCTCTTCCTCTCCTTTTTTCCGTCCTCCCCCTCCCCCCCCAACCACCACCTCCTCTCTCCTCCCATCGTCTTCCCTCAAGTTTCTCACCGACGGCGACGGATCCGTCTTCTCGCATTCCCTCCTTGAACCTGATGAACAACGACCTCAATCAACCACATGACGGCATTCATCCTTCTAAAGATCCAATTCCGTGTACGCGCGACCCCACCTCTTCTCCTCCTCCCTTCTTCCTTGAACTTAATCTCGCTGTTCCCGCTCCTTATCCTTTCTTCGCTCCTCTCATCCCCGCCTTTCTCTACTTCCGTCCTCTTTCCATGACCTCCCCATCCCTTAAAAAAACGGGAAGGCCCGCCTCACTGCGAGGCCCGGGTCCCGGCCCGGGTCCGACCGTACTGTATTATTCTTTCTTCATAATTGTTTCAGTTTGCTTTTTCAATCTCTTTACTCACCAATCATTTAGTTACTTCTAAAGCGGCGGCTACTCAGTATGTATGACCATCATGATGATTCTCAAAGGATCGTGGAATGTACCGTGGCAGAATCACACTGTCATCGCGATGAGTATTGGCATGATGACAAGCAAGAACGCTCAGTGGTTGGTTTCAAGATTGAATCTACATCTTGCTAAGTTCCTGCGAGCATCATTGGTGAGGCCCCTTCGTTGGGCGTTCGCCTGGTTCAAATTCATCGCGGTGATGGCGGCCAAGTGACAACAAGGCTAGGGCGTCAATGCAACCGTTGAAGAAGAATCGCCGCCGCGATGATTCCCTTCATAATTTCGAATCGGAAGGTTGCTTCTTCAACTCGGCGAGGGACCGGGCAAGGCATGAAGGCTCGGATGTCGTGCAAAAAAGATTCAGAGCCTGACGGTCTGCATCTTCGTCATCGGCCGAGGCCGGGCCGAGTCTCCGAATATGTCAGCTGATGAGAGGCCCTTGGATATTGTCAGAGTCTATCAACTTGGCAACGGCACTGCACGCCGCCGTTGACGGGGCTAGGCCGCTGCAACTGGCAAGGAGACTTCCGAGCCTTGTTCCTGCGCTGGCCCGTCGGAGCCTGGACTCCAGAGTGCGAATGGCCAAGTTGGCTTGACGCGGGAGTCAACGCCGGGTGATGGAGAGACACCGGGTGATGGAGACTGAGACGCCGGGGCTCGGCCGAGAGGCCCGGGAGAAGCAACGCCCGGCGCCGGGAGGGCATCCGAGCCCACGGCGACTCTCATTGTACGGCAGGGCCTTCATTGTCCAATTCTCAGAATCGGCTCAACCCGGGCCCGTCGGACCACTGACTCCGACATGCCAGGCTGCTTCATTTTCCAGGCTTTTGAAAAGTTTCAGTCTACTTGAGCGGCTACTAGCAGGAAAGGCTCCGCCGCCCGGCCGGGCACTCCGCGGCCGGGCACAGCGGACCGGCCTGGGACTGAAAAGTGCCGTTACTAGTCACGGTGATTTTGAAATTTTTTGAAAAATGTTTATAAGATTTCAATTTATGTGAGCAACATTTAGGAACTCTCCATCTAATGAGTTCTCAGTGATCCCTCGGACTCATCCTATTTTCACTGCATGCTGGGAAGGATTTGAATAATTATTGTTAAATTTGAATATCTGTCTAAATTTATTTCAAATATAAATTAAATTTTAAATTATTGTACCACTATGGTACCATGAACCCATCACGGAGATTCGGAGACCGAGAATTTGTGTAGCTGATACGTCTTATATTGTTTTCAGCACAAAATATTATAATATTCGTACCATCTAAAAAAGTTGACAGTAGCATAATTCTTAAAAGTGGTTTACTCGTACATGGCTGAACACCGAGGAGAGGATCCCCATGATGGAACCTAGTAGGATTGGGGTGGGGTGCACTCACAGGCAACCAGCGGTGACGGGTCATGGTGATCAACAGTCAACTCTAGGGGTGGGGTGGGGTACTTCCAACAAAGTGGCGAACAAATTTGAGACGTTCATCGCGCAGTACCCCTTGTTTTCCACCGGATCTTGCCTTCCTGAAGGGGGTCAGGGTAGCAGACCAGTACAAAAGATGTCACAAAGGAGGGGTGGTGCTGCCACCGGTGCCAACGTGTATCTCATGGTCAATATGGTGGGTTATCTCAGCCTGGGATTGAAGTTGAACTGGGTAGGGTAGGGTGGTTACTCTAACAACTCCATGTCGATCAGAAAGATAGGGGTGGGGGGTCCCATAACACCATGTGAACTCCGATCGATGTGGGGGTGGGGTACTATACTCGAACGTTAGTCGTGGGGTGCTTTAATTTTTAAGACGTGTAGGGGGTGGGAGTACTGAGGGGATTGAAATGGATGGGACTGGTCCTAGGAAAGTAATTTGTGTCTATGACCAGGTCGTACCCCTTGCACATAGACTTTTTGTATGCCGGTCCTAGATGAAATTAATCGGGGGGTGGGTGGTGGGAAACTGAAGGATTTGTGGTTCCACCTGAAGTGGGGTAGTTTTTATAACTAACTTTTAACACCCTCAGCCGAGGGACAGCGGACGCGGCAATGTCGGAAGACAGCAGGACGAGAATGGGAAGTAGCGAGCGGAAGATGGACTGTAGGGAGGCGAAGCGAGGACAGCGGAAATTATGCGAAGGAAAAACAAAAGCTCGTCTAGTCAGCGCAGAGCAGGGTATGGTGAGATTAGACGATGATAGGATGACGCTGCCTCGAAACGAAGTTCTTTCACGAAATGGGATATCAGGAGAGAGATAACGAGGTGATCGAGAAATGGGATTGAATGAGAGTCAGGTTAAGAAATTACCAAGCAGAATGACTTCCGCAAAGTTTTTCATGAATTAGCTTCAGGGTTGAGGTTGGACACCTGGAAATACATGATCCTTGACAACCTTTGAAGACAAAGCATTCGAACAATGGGTGTGTTGCATCCAATATGCATACTGAAAGGAAGATTGTCATGTACTAGAGGAAATGATGATGAGTTACTGACAGCTGCTGATTCATGATGTTTCACTTCATGTTTTGACTCAATTTTTTTGTTTGTTGACTTCTACTTGCTTGCAGCTGTAAACCGGTCTTGCAGACAGGCGTACGAGTGAAGAATGCAGGCTCAGAGGGTGAGTTTGGCCTGTACACCTGAAGGAACTGATCGGCTTTTGTAGCGAGGGATCGCTTCCTATCCTGAATTCCTCCGAGACATTCTTTCCACCGACATCAATGTCGCAGTACAAGCAAGCAAGAATCTTTTGGCCATCGCAGAATCCACTCAGGTGCTGAAGTTCTCTTCGCATGTGTAGGCTGATCATTCACTTGTCATCAGTGCTCTGAGAAGATTCCTGCAAATGTCATCGAGAGTGTCTTGAACGCTCTTCGCTCTCCTCACACTCAAGTACTCTGCAATGTCACCTCGATCCTGTACGCTGTCGACGTGAACCCTCCTGCGGGCTCGTTGACCGCCCTTGATGTACAGGTTCTGGATTGCATACGGAAATCCAGAGAACCAGAGAGCCCTAGTGGGGATCAGGACCTTCCTGCCTTTGATGGCAGAAATCATTAGGTCCAGGGCGAATGATCAGACTGTCCGACAGGAGCAGGCGAATGCAGTTCATGCTTTGTCTCAGGTTTGATCTCTCGATTTCAAATGCACACCAACTCATGAGTGTTTCCAGGTTGTCTTTGCTGATCCAGACACCGCGATTTCTATCGTGAGCACTCCTGGAATCTTGAACGGGATGGTTTCTATGATGAAGATCGGCGCAGAGAGAGCTTCAGCAAGTAAGGAAGCTGTGCCTTGATATGCTTTGCTTTCGTGGCTTGCAAGATTTGCAATGTCTTTGTTTCAACGCAGATACCTTGGTTTTCTGACCAAGATCTTAACCAGGAACTGCTAGGGACATTGCAGCGTTGGCTGTCAACAATTGCGCTGGCATTGGTGGCGAAGAAGCATCGGGCAAGATTGCATCGGAGCCTGGAATGCTCGGTGGATTCTTTTCATCTCTTTTCTAAAGACTTTGAAAACTTATTTTAACGCTAGACCTGCTGCGTGCTATGGCCTTGACTGGATCTCCCGAAGAGAAGACCCGTGCTACTAGCGTCTGCTATCACATCTCAAGGAGCACCGTTGCACAGCAATTGATGATCAGGGCTCAAATTCCATCTGCTTTGGCCAATGTAAGTTTTGACTCCCTTACATGACATTCTCCTGATCAGTCTGTATCACAGATCATAAACACAAGAGGCTCGGGAGAAGAATATGAGGCGCAGATTGCTTTGGCTACAATGGTCAGCAGTTGCGAGATCTTGTTGTCGATGTCTCATTTCCCTGTCCAGGCCTTGACCAACCTTGTTGGAGCATCCCGATCATCTTCTGACATATCTATCTCACCCGGTCATCTCTACTGCTCGCCATCATTATTCATGACTCTTTCTTCAGCCTCCATCTCCATGATCACCAGATATTTGAACTTTGCGGTCAAATTTCGTGCTTGTTGCCTTTAACTTGACTGACGAGACGTTCAGATCAAAGGGCAGCGATATGGAGGAATCAGTTGGAGGGTGTACGACGTCCTGTTTCCGCTCTCTGTCCTTGCGAAGAACAGCGACAAACATATTCCCATGATGGATGCTGGCGTAGTCGAAATCCTCCTCAAGGTCCTGGACGACTGGAGACAAGGCCAATTTGATGCACAGTTTACAAAGGTTCTCATTTCCGAGTGACGCTGTATCTCCTCAACTATTTACTGCAGGCCAAGGCAGCCGAATTTCCAATTGTTGCTCTCTCTGCCTGTGAGTGCTAATGTTGAAGTCGCGAAATTCCTCTTGACTTTTTTCTTTCAGCGATCCTTGAAAACAT